GTCATTCAGCAAATTAAAATTAATTTTGACATATCTACGATCAACGGTGGGACAAGATCACCTAAGTGACCTGGCATTTTTAAGTGTGGAAAGAGAAAAATTTGAAATGATCAACTTTGATGATATTATTGATAAATTTGCTTCATCAAAAGCGGAAAATTTACACATAGTAATTAGTTTTATAATTGTATTATAATCATATTATTAAATATATGTATCTCCTTAGAGATAATAAATATTTACTTTTTTATTGTTTTAAAACTGCGTGTTTTTAAAATATTTCTTTATAAATATGAAAAATAAATAATAGGTATCTTTTGAACTAATTCTAGATGACCATTTATACATTTCAAAATCTAGTCTTGTTTTCTCAACTGCATTTTTTGCCTCAAATTTAAAGCCTAGATTGAGCCTATGACTTTATTTATTTTACTTTATTTATTTGCGAGTATATTTTGCATATTATATTGTATGGTTTTCGAATGGGGGGCGCTAAAGAGATATTGTGCCCCGGGCGCGAGTTAAGCTCGCTACGCCACTGCACGTTGGTTAAACTTTTAAATTTTGATATAGGATTATGATAACTTATCTTAATTATATTTTTAAAAAGTATATATATAATTATTTAAATATGTTAAAACATGGTTTTTGGAAACTCTGTCACCCAAAATAAATTAAAAAAGCCACAGTTCAAGTGCCTTACACTTTTTTAAGTAACTAACGATTTTAAACTACTTTATAACTCATCTCGCTGTGAAGAATTATCTGGGCTGGCTTTTGAACGGAGAAATAACTTAAATATTTTAAAAGTTATTAAACCTTTTTTTTTTTTAAATCGCCAATTTGGCGACATTTTCCCCACCTAGTTGAAAAATATCAATATAGCTGCCATATTCCCAGTTTACGTAAATTTCTATAAGCCCAGTTAATGCAGCATTGGAGTAAGTTTTTAAATATTAAAAAATTAGACAGCAAACGCTTTTTATTTTCACAAGATTGTGACATTTCTTCATTTTAACGCTTTGCGCCATTTGCAGAAGAAGCATATACCGCACTGAGTCTAAACTTGTCAGAAATCAGTCACAGTTACGAGTAAATGTTGTAAACTCATAGCTATAATAAAAATATCATATTATTCGCAAAAAAGAAACATTATTTCATATGACAACGGAGCCTTCAAAAAACAGCATTAAGAAAGAAGAACGATGTATTTAGAATAAAGCAGGGTCAATATTTTTGAATGATAACGTGTAGATTTCTTCATAATCTTTTATCAAGATTAAGGAAATTGATAAAGCGACAAGTGTTCCTACCCGCACCCTCTCTTAAAAGGCGACCTTGAGGAAGGAATCTTCTCTTAGTTCCGTGATTATTCGTAATGGAGGACAACAAACTCGTTTTATATTCTTATTTTCGAAGTTCGTGTTCTTGGAGAGTACGAATTGCTCTGGCTCTTAAAAATATTGACTATGAATCGAGATTTATTAATTTAGTTAAGGGAGAGCATTTATCTGAGAGTTATGTTAAATTGAATCCATGCGGTGAAGTGCCGGCTTTAGTCACCGGCACCGGACAAACGATCACCCACTCCGTTGCCATTCTTGAATACTTGGAAGAAACTGTTCCCCTTCCACCTCTTCTGCCCCAGGATTCAGTTCTACGAGCTCAGGTGAGCCGATCTTAATTTTTGTTCAAATTAATTATAGAGTAATTTTTTTATTATTATTATTCTAAAAAGGAAGAAGAGCTGGTCGACAGCAAAAAATTTCGTTGTCAGAAATTTTTTTTTTTAGATTCTTTATTTCTGTTATTATTAAGACTCTTATTCTGTTGACCTTAGTAGTTTTTTTTTTCCTTTTCCTTACAAAAAAAAAACGAGAAAATAAGCTAATGATAAAACTTTTTTGTCACTAACCTAATTCTATTTTTATATTAATTATTTTATTTAATTTCCTATTGTTATTAGTTAAAAACTTATATTGACAAAATTTTAATTTTTTATTTCGATTTAAAAAGAAATGAAGTAATTTCCAAACAACAAAAGATTTTTTGTTTCGGACCTAATTTTATTTCTAATTTTTATTTCCTAATGTTTTTTGGAAGGCCCTAATCCCTATGATTTAGCAAACAAAAGGAAATGTTTTAGTCAGTTGCCGAAATCCTATCATTTGCAGTTTTCAACCTTTTATTCTTAAAATACAGGGTTCGAAAAACCGCCCGTCCTCGGCGGTCAAAAATTCCCTGCGAACAACGAATTTTTCGAATCCGACGTCCGCGCGGACGGCCTTTTTCCCTTCTTGACTTTTGTCATTTAAATTATTTCATAAAAGAAATACAAGGTTACTATTAGTAACCCAGTATTTCTTTTATTACTGTATAATGTAATCTTAGTAACTACTAGTTCATTGTGCAATTTATATAAATGTTTGCAATAAATAAGAGAAAATTATATTTTTATTTATTTAGAAGCTACGGGTTAGTTTCAAAGGAGGACGGGTACATTGTTGGACAAGCCGCTCTCGGGGACGGGCAAAATTTCTGAGTTTTTTCGAGCCCTGTTAAAATATCAATGTTCATAAATATAAGATCAGAATATAATTTCCAATCTTTTATGCGAATTTTAGCTAAAAACCAAATATTTGCTGCTTTATATATTTTGATAAACATGTTTAATTTTAATAAACATTTTTATAAATATTTTATACATTTATTTTTAATTAATTTTATATTTAATTAATATTTTATAATAAGAAAAAGTAAAACATGTACGTCGAGTTGTATGTCGACCGAAGGCATCATTAAGATTAAGACCACGATCTCGAGATCAACAGTATCATGATTTTAGTGTCGTCAGCATTGCACACCGGCCACCTTTATTCCGCGGACAAACTGGTACCCATCGATCTGATCTTTGTGTTATATCATCAAATAATAAAACTATGGTTTTTCACAATGATAACTCAGTATCTTAAGTGGACGCTATACCAGGGCAGAAACTTTTCATGGTAAATTCTTCTTCAACGCTATCGATTTTTTAAAATTTCGAGAAAATCAGTTCAGGTAAACTTAGAGTAAGTCATAAAGTTTCAAATGCTGTAAAAAATACTTCAAAATATTAAAATGCAAACAAATTATTCGAAGAGAACTTTTCCGTTGAGTAATCCTAAGTTATAATCTCATAATTTATTTTCATTTGTAGATTTTAAAATTTTGTTTTCAGTATTTGAAACTTTATGGCTTACTCTAGGTTTGTCTGAATTCACGTTTTCTGCATTTTAAATTAGTAATGAATTAAAAAGAGAATTTGCGAGGAAAATTTTCATCCGTGATATGGCTGCCAGTTAAGGTATCCGACTAGTTTTGATTAAATTTTTTTAAATATTAAAAAAAATTAAAAATTAGTTTATATGTTTCACTATGCGCAGAAGCTTTTAAAACTAGCAAAAAAATTATTATTAATTTATTATTTTCTTTCTTCTTTTTTTAAAATGGCCATATTTAGGTAAAAATAAGGCTTTTTTCCCCCTTTTTTCCTCCTTGCATATCCGCAAGACAGTATAAAAAAAAATTTATCGTTCCAAAAAATCCTTTCCGGATTTTATTTAGAAGGCTTTGAGAACTATGTTTTGAACCATTAAGTTAAGAGCAAGTGCATATACTTCTGAGTTAGGGAACAATGTAGTTAAAAAAAATTAATTTTTTAAAAATTTCGCACTTGTCTTTGCGAAAAACATGCATAAAAAAATATATTTTCTTAGTCTGTAGTTCAAAACATGAGTGCTATCATCATAAACACTCATGAAAAATTGTAGACAATTATTTTAAAAACAACATGAGATATCGTGTTTAAGGTGGTGTAAAATGTGAAAAAAAAACTGATTTTTTGAGATAAACGCATTTAAGGACTTAAAACCACTAGTCTATCCAGCGTTATCAAATTGCAGAAAAACTGCTATAACTTTGTAAATAATTAGAGTACAAACAAAAGTAAAGTATTTTTAGAAATCTAAGTGTTCAGGGATTCAAAATTTATAATAAACTCAATTTCGAAATCATGTTTTTGCACTAGCGTCTTCGCTGCTCTTGGTCAAAAATTAACCTAAAGTAAAATTTTTGTTTTGAAAAATGATTGAAGATTATTGTTATTGAAATTGTCTACGGCCGTTAAGGCAAAAGGGAGTACGATTGTTCTGGTTTTCCAGTGGCGCCATCTATGGCCAAGAATTCGACTTCTGTCTCACACATACGTCACACCTGTTTATAGGGCGGATCCATTTACACAACCATTCCTTCTTACACAGATCGTAATTTTCACCTCAATCAGAAAACGACCAATCTCCAATTCACTACCCCCAGAGGTATAATTTGTTATGGGAATATGGAGGACTTTGTGACCCTAAAAATTTAAAGTACATCAAACACTATTTTATATCCGCCGTTGAACAGCCGACCCAATTTTGGGCTTATGACTACTAATGTTAAACTCCGTGGCCTTGTAATTGTGAACCAATCCAAACGACAATGAAACTCCTGGATCAGTACCCTAAAAACTATTGATTTGTTATGGGAACATGAAGGACTTTGCAACTCGACAGATTTAACATACATCAGTCACCATTTACTACACGGGGAGTCTTCAGACGGCGGGGATCAAACCCCCGAACTCATGGACATGGGCCCTGTGCCCTACCAACCAGGCTTTCCCAGCCACCAATCACCATTTACTACACGCGGAGTCTACTGCCGGCTGGATTCGAACTCCGATTCTCTAGAACGCGAGTCCAGCTCCCTGCCAACCATCTATCGCGACCCTAATTAAAGATTATAAATATTAATTGAAAGTCTATTGATTATTGATTGAAAGTCTATTGAGTATTGATTGAAAGTCTATTGATTATTTGAAAGTCTTAATTGATTATCTCCTTCCTTAGGTGAGAGCCATTGTGGATACGATAGCTTCAGGTATTCAGCCAATTCAGAATATGAAAGTGCTGAAATACGTGGGTCAAGATTCTCAGCAGTGGGCAAAGCATTGGATACAGAAGGGATTTGTTTCCCTGGAAAAGATTCTAGGAGAAACCCATGGTCAATACTGCGTGGGAGATGCTTTGACCATGGCCGATGTCTGCCTCCTACCTCAGATCTACAATGCCAATCGCTTCGCTGTCGACATGTCACAATTTCCTTTGATCGCCGAAATCGCTTCCAGGTTGAGCGAATTGGATGCTTTCAGACTGACCCGACCTGAAAATCAACCCGATTGTCCGGAAGAACTGAAACGTCACAAATAACTGGATGACGTCAAAAGACAAATCAAACATTTTGTAAAAAAAAAAAATTTAAATAAAATGTTAGGAACCATGCATGACGTTTTTTTTAGAAAAATTTTGTATTGTTTTTCCTTTATGCTTTACATAACAAGGTTACCACTCCACGGGGAAAATAGGAAAAACCTAGAAAATGCAGGGAATTTAAAAATCACCTGAAAAAACTAGGAAAATGTTGGGAAATTTCAGTTCTTCCTTATAAACTGGGAAAATTTTATTTCTTATTTTCCTCTTTTAAAAAATAGTGACCACACAAAGCGCTATCTATGGGATATTTATAATTAAGGCCCGGATCTTGATGACATTTGCATTTTTGGACATTTTTTGTCTTTTAGAGCATTTTTTTAGATTAATTGGGCATTTTTCTTTAAATTTTGGGGCNTATAAGATTCTATGTAAAATCTTAATTATAAGGTGATACCCTATACAGCTTTATTGTTTTTAGATGACTGTTTGTACTTGTTTACGTTAGTGTATCAATTAATTAAATTAGACGATATATAATATAAATTAAACAATTAGATAAATTATAGACGATATATTATTCAGATATAGAATATTTATTATATCGATTATTATATTATAATAATTAGACCAAATTATTAGACGCACTGTAGTTTTTTAATAATTGCACGCTTTGCAAGAGTTCATACGCAATACTTTTATATTTAAACATACATGTAATGGGTTTTTATTCAGATTTTTTATATACTTCCAATTTGTATTTATTTTCAATGTATTGCTTTAAAATGTTAAACAATTGATACACGAACGGTAAACAAGTACAAACCGGTTTCAGTCACTTAAAGCTGTATCACCTGATGATTAAGATTTCACATAGAATCTTATAGTTCGTCTAATAATTTGGTCATGGACTGTAAGTATGTTTATCAGTTCCTTATAAGTTTTTCTAGTACAAATTATATAAAACTAGTATAGTTAACCCAATATAACTCACACACAAGAGCACAGTGATTGTGAGCTTCTTCTTTATATATTGCTATATAATATATACAGGATTTTTTTTTCTATATTTGAGTGGCAACTGTGCATAGGTATCTCTTGGTAATTTGACTTTTAAACAGCTTTCTACAGAAATATACGGGGATCTTTTTCCCCCTCATGAAAACGGGCAAATATCTCAACCTCGGCCATTTTTCCTGGAGGGGGTCATGTTTAGTGTTATTAGATAAATATTTTCAAAATATCAAGCATCTACTTCTGATTTTTTTCGATCTGTGACAAGCACTTCTCGAGATATCTTTAATTTAAGCAATTAATATAATTTAAATTCAACGAATAACCCGCAATCCAAATACAACATTCTGAGGTTAAATTGAGGAAAAATTTTTTTAAAGAAAAATCCAAATCTGCAATGAAATTCGAGTTTATTTACAGTTGCCCTGGGTTTTTTTTAAAATTTTAACGTTGCTTAAAAAGATTCGTGGAAAAAGATATTTTAATCCTGTTTAAACGAACATATACAAGACTGATTTTTTTTTATTTTGCTAAGACATTAAATCTTCAAAATCTCGATGGATGAAGGATTCAAGTGACAGCTTTTGAGTGTTTATATAACGGAATAAGGATCCAAGCGCATTTGTCTACGAACAGTTGACGAAAAACTTTAGAAAATCTCTATTATTGAGAACGCTATGACGCGAACAGTTTAAATCAGGGTAAGAAGCATGAGGACATTAGTTTTATTTTAACATTTAAACTTACAAGCTAGTTAAGCGAAAATCACTAAAATATCACACTCTTTATTCATTGATCTGCCCTTAATTGCCATTATAAAAATATACATAAATGTATAATCATGATAAAGGCTTTCCTCTATTATTTTCATTGCTTAGTCGCGTACAATTTTTTGAACAAAAGTGTTTGTTTTTTAATGATTTCAAAAGGATATAGATATTCTATATACATAAGTAATATTACTAAAAAGTCATGCTTTTTTACCACGTTTATATCAACTTGCCTTCGTGTATGTCTGTTCGGGTGAAATTTTGTAATCGATTTTAAACTAACTTCCCGACTACCTACAGACTTCAAATTTGGCACATAGTTCAGAATTGGATGAAAATGAAGAGAAAAAAGACATACAAAGTAAAATAAAATTAAAATTATAGAAAAATTAATATTTTCGCGATTGTCTTTTGTTGTCGATTCTATTATTTCAAATTAGTGTCACATGTCAGTTGAAAAGTTTTGTGTACAGTGAGTGAAAAAATTTAGATTTTGGAAGTGAGTACAAAAAAAATTAAAATAATGTTTTTAAAAACTACGTTTTTTGTAGTGGAGAATAATAATTAAAAAACAAAAATTTGAAGACCGAAAAACGTGGGGGCATGAAATACATAACAGTACGTATACACATTTTCTTACTCATACACATGCACAACCACATGCACATCCACATTCAGATACAATTACAGATATACATGCACATATTCTTATGAGCACACATACTGCTACTGTTATGTATTTCATGCTCCCCACGTTTTTCGTTTTTCAAAATTTTTGGTTTTTTAATTATTATTCTCCGTTATAAAAACGTAGTTTCTTAAGTATATTATTATTATTATTTTGTCTGATAACATCAACAAAATTATTATTCGGAAATTTAACAAAATTACCACATTAAGTGCAATTTTATGAACAAAGAAAGAGCTTTGCTTTGACTTTTGACGTCTATAGAAAATTTCCTCATTAAATCCGAGATTACCGGGAATCATTGCCGAGTTGGACAGTATTTGACATTAATCAGCTCAGTAACACAGATATTAAAAACCCTCGTAAAAATAACCTACTATTAGTACTATAAAAATAAACTAACAAAAATTACATTTATAACGTACGCTTGCGTTAATTAAAAAAACCCTCATCAAAAAAAGTACTTACCTTTATGAAGAGGTTCTAAGTTACAGAATGAAGATGTTACTCGCGCGAGTGTCAAAAACGTCACTCTCTGCAGATGAGCAAATAAGGTTCCTAATCACATATGCAGAACAGTGAGTCATTTTATGACTGTATTGTTTTAAAAAAGACGATCGTTTAATAAAGATTTCTGCATGCATACAATGCAAATAGAGATGTTGCTAAATATTTCATCACTGAAGATTTAATGGAACAGAAGATTCGTGAATATAAAAAGCTTCCATAATATTCCGTTTATACCACAACACTTTTTTAATCTATTATTTATTTATTTATTTCAGGCAGGATATTACATGCGCTGGAAGCAACTTTTCTTCCAGCAACAGAACAAATTTTTATTTTTTAATTGCGATTCGTTAACGTAAACCTCGTTAATCGCAATGAATCAGGGTTGACTATAAAATCTTACATGTTTAAAATTATCATATATTGAAATCACGACTGGGTTTGGCCGGGATAACCTGGTCGATAGGGCGCTGGGCCCACGTCCGAGAGTTCGTGGGTTCGAACCCCGCCGGTCGAAGACTCCCCATGCAGTAAAGTGACTGATGCACGTTAAATCTGTCGAGTCGCAAAAGTCCTCCATGTTCCCATAACAAATCAATACCTCTGGGGGTACTGTATTGGAGATCGATCGTTCTCTGATTCAGGACAAAATTACGATCTGTGAATGTATGAATGGGTTCGCCCTATAAACGGGTGTGACGCATGGTGTTGCAGAAGTCGAATTCTTGGCCATAGATGGCGCCACTGGAAAACAAGAACAATCGCACCCTCTCTGCCTAAACAGGCATACGTCAACAACAACGATTGGGTTGTCGATTATCAATGATCAACTCCGTAACCTTGTAATTTTGAACCCAACTCAGAGACTGAGGAACTCCTGAATCAAGCACTGGAACAAACTTGTTTTCGTGGAGGACTTTTTGATGGAACTAACCCCAATTGCTTTACATGGAGAGGAAACCCTTCAACGTCTAGCCCGACAGTAAGGGGATTCAAATCCATCGTCTGTCTATCGCTGAGGATATCTTACGTCAACACTGCGGTCGGAGCTACCCGAGAGCAGAATTCGTATCGACCAGCCACCACTGGAATTCGAACATGGATCACATCATTGAAGAACAAGTGCTATATCCCCTGAGCCACTATGGCCCGAAAATTACAGTTTAAAAACTCCGACTCTTAGCTAACTGTTTATTTTGCGACGTACTAGGTTAGGTGGAAAAATCTCCTGCATTTTATAATCAGCCTAACACTTTTTAGATTTATCACAGCCGAGTAGCCTTGGAACCAACAAGTTTTCGTGGAAGAATTTTTGATGGAAATAACCCGCATTTGCGTTACATGGGGAGGAAAACCTCCCTCGGTTAGCTCGAAGGCAAGAGGTTACTAATCAATAATTCGCTTACCGCTTATCATATTTTATCTTAGCACTCGGGTTGGTGCGAGCTGGATGCAGAATTCGTATCGACCATCTATCACTGGTATTCCAACCTGGGTCACTTGATTCGAATCTGGGTTTGGGAGGCGAGTGCTCTATTCCCTTGAGAAGATCGAACCTCAGCTCTTGTCTAAACTTTTAGGGAAACCCTTTCCAAAAACGTAACTATGGACACGTGGTTTCAAATAACTTTCAAAATGCTGATTTGTTGACATCGCCAACCCATGCCATCTACTTTAATGTTACTGGCGCTTACGTGACGTAAAAAAGAAATAAAGATACATAACTCATTAAGAACTTGCAATGAACTGTCAGCGAAACTTGTTTTTAACTAAATAGAGCTGTATGTGAGCAAACATATTTGATGTTATCTATAAAACAATTGAAAGGGGGGAAATGTCTGGAGTTGAAATTGCAGCAATGACTAAAAGAAAAATTGGTTTTTCACGCGTCTCTTCAGAGCAGAAAAATAAAAAATTTATGATTTTTAAGATTGGGGATTAAATCTCCCCATGTACCCGCAGTTCAAAATCTTAGCACAAAAAGGTTTTCATAATACAACATGGCTGGGATAGTCTGGTTAATATGGCGCGGGACACAAGTTTGTGAGAACGGGAGTTTAAATCCAGCTGGCCGAAGACTCCCTGTATAGTATATTGTGACTAGTGCGCATTAAATATATCAGGTCATAAAGTCCTCTATATTCTCATAACAAATTCAAAAAGAGAGAGAAAACACACAGACAAACTCACACATTCCTCCTTTACTGCTAAAGATAACGTCAAAAATTTTAAGTACAAAATAATTTATATCATTTATATACTTTTTTAAGAATTGTTAGTTTTTTTTTTTCTTTTATGATCAGCGTTGAACAACCGACCCAATTCTGAGTTTACGACAATCAGTCTTGTAATTTTGAACCCAACCCAGAAAACAAAGAAACTTCTGGATCAAGCATTGGGGCAAACTAGCTTTCGTGGAGGACTTTTTATGATGGAACTAACTCTATTTGCGTTACATGGGGAGGGAAACCAATAAATCCTTCCACGGCTAGCCCGACGGCAAGGAGGTTCTAACCCATAATCTGTCTACCACTGAGGATATTTTACGTCAGTACTGCAAGCCGAGAGCAGAATTCGTATCAACCAGCCACCGATGGTATTTGAACATGGGTCACGGCATTGGAAAACAAACACTCAATCCCCTGAGCCACCCTGCCCCAAAAATTTCTAAGCAAAACTCCAACGTTTTGCAAACCGTCGTCGTCACTTTGTGACCTACTAGGTTAACAGGAAAAACTCCCCGTATTTTTTAATCAGCCTAACACTTTTTAGGTTAATCACAATAGTTTCAGATAATTTTAGAGTTATCATTACTCATTAAGTTTGATTTATTTCAAATCATTTACAACTATCACTGCAATTTTAGTCTAATTCGAAAGTAAAGCATCAATTGCTGAATGAGTCTGATTCACAATACATACCTCTTTAAAGCACAGGTATAATGCAAAGCTCATAGCCATAAACCTAAACAAATTAATGCTTAGTTACATAAAGTCATGATTGTTAATAAGTCTAAAAATATCAGGCTATATAGAAAATACAGGAGACTTTTCAAATTAAAGTATTGTAAAATGTCGACATTCACAAAAAGCTCTTCTTTTCTTTTTACATAGTTGCTAAAAATATAATATTCTCTTCGGGTGCCCTAACTGTACTTGTAGTGCTCTATTATGACATGAGATACTCCCCGATTAGACAATCCAGGTTCGAATACCGGTTGGTCACGTATTCTTTTTCCGACTCGCACCAACCACAGTACTGACTTAAATGGTGAGATTTTTAATATTGCGGGGGAATGAAGATAGCGCCTCGAGTGATATACGAATCCGTATACAACTTTTGGAAGGTAGTGCTTTTCGATTTATGGAGAATAAAAAAATTTCGCTCCATAGTACCCTCCGCCTCTGAATACTTTCCCGTACATTAAAATTAAGATAATATACTTAATGATTCTATTCAAACATGTTTCCTACTCTATTACTTTAAAAACCTTTTATTCCTAAAAATAATTTTTTTCTTGTTCGGTTGAATTATTACACGTGGAGCAGCTAAGCAAATAAAACAGAGCGTCACATAAAGCATTTGGAATATTTCAATTTGCATCATTCGATGCATTATTTATAGATTTCCATTATATGTATCTGTACAGCATCTAAGAAGAGCTTCAGCGCAATTCGAAAAATCACCTTTTGAAATGTCTAAAAGGCACCAGGAAGCTTCCAAAGAACAAGAACAAACTAAGAACAATTCGATGTTTTAGCGCATTTCAGAAAACCAACTTTAATTGAAAAACTTCTAGAAGCTATTTAAGTTGACAAAAAACATGTTTCCGGACCAAAGGCCGGGTGATTATTACCATAATCAAATGAAATTTTCTTCATAGAAAATACGAGCGAATATACGAATTTTTATATTTTTTGCAACACAGAATTCATTTAAATCTCATTTCTGGGGAATACTGTCTTTTACAGAGCATTTCCGAAAAATTTTAATTTGTCAAAAAAAAAAAAACATGCTTATTTGGTGACATATCATTAATGAGTTTTAGTTATTTATTTTTTATATATTCTTGCAAGGCAGAATTTATTTGAAACTGGCATAATATGAAAGTATCGTCCATAAAAAGCGAAATTTTTGAAACTGTCTTAAGGAATTTTAAGCCGTTAAAAAAAAAAAAAAACATTAAGCGGATATTTATTTTTATTTATAATCAGCGTTGAACAGCCGACCCTTTTTTGGGTTTGTGTAAATCAACGTTAATTCCGTAACCTCGCAATTTTGAACCTAACCCAGAAGACAGCAAGACTACCGTATCTAGCATGGCAACAAATTAAGCCTTCATAGAAGACATTTTGACATAATTTGCATATACGTTAAATGAAGAGGAAAACCCCACCCAGTTAACAAGAGATTTCTAACTATTGACCCGTATAATAATGAGGATATTTTACGTCAGCACTGTGCGAGCTGGAGGCAGAATTCGTATCGGCCAGGCATCGCTGGAATTCAAACCTGTGTCACTTCATTGGGAGGTGAGCGCTCTATCACCTGAGCCACCGTCACTTTGTTAATTTTTTGTTGGATTCATTTGAAACTGGAGCAATAGGCATAATAATTTCTAAAAACAATTTATTTTATTAGAAAGAAATTTAATTTTATAAAAAAATGCAAAATCCAAAGCATACGTCGATCAACTAATACCAGTATTAAAATATGTTTTTTGTCAGCTGTTTTGGCTCTAAATATTAGCCTATAATGCCAATACATATAACATATACAGGGCTGGAAGTCCAAAATTTAAAAATTAAGAACAAAATTGCCTCCTAACTGAAGAACAATTT